AAACAGTGGTGGTGGTGAACCGCTTCTCCCCCCGAGATGCCGGTTGGTGGACCAGAATCACCTCGAAGCYGTACGGAAGTATTTTTCCATGTCCTCTCCGAACTCCTCCCACACCYGAGGTTTTGCCTCAGTGACCACCCGAGTTGCAATCCGCTTGGATTGCAGATACCTATCAGCTGCTTCCAGAGTCCCACAGGTCAAAAAGACCCGACAGGACTCCTTCTTCAGCCTGACAGCATCCCTCACTGCCGGTGTCCACCAGTGGGTTCGAGGGTTGCTGCATTGACAATTATTTATGAATGGATAAATTCATGGTTCTATAAATAAATAAATATGCAGAGAGCAGAATCAAATGGTWGACCTAAAGTTACGCCCATGGTGCAGCCTCTGGATGTGTTTCACATCAGGTTCTGGTTCTGGTGGTTYTGGTGAAATCAGGCTTCTTTCCTGCTCAGTCAATGTAAACTGCAGCTGGAGGGTAGTTTTCTGTTCTCACCTGGTGTCTTCTGCTGCTCCAGGTTTGGACATGTTCATGGTTTGTAACAAGTGGTTATTTGAGCTTTCTGTTGTCTCAACCCAGTCTGTCTTTTTTTGTGCCGCTCACTGGGTACTTCCTAGTTTTTTTGAGCCATTCTTTTATAAATGGTTGTAGGTAAAAATCCCAGAACATCATTAGTTTCTGAAATATTCGGACCCACAATCACTCCACGACCCAGGTCCCTTCAGTCCTTTTTCTTCCTCGTTCTGATGCCCAGTTTTCTCTGTGCCTTAAAGCACTGATGCTGCCATCTGATTGGCTGCTTAGATAACAATGATCTGAACAGTAACACTAACCCAAATGAAGTGATTGATGAGTGTTATTAATATTATTATAATATTTGAACATTTTTATTGTATGTTTGACACTAATGGATTTCATATCTTGCTCCACCTGGTGGTCATCAAAAGAAAAACAGACAAAACAAACTTCTTGTTTTATTGTTTTATTTTAAAGTTCATCTTAATTTGGTTGTTTTTTTCACAGCTCCTCCTGCTGGAGCTCTCAGGGAGACGTTCTGTTTGAGGAATTAATCACCTTCCCATCCACYGTCTCCTCCATCCTGATAATGAGTTTTTTGTTGGGGGTGGTGTTGGTGGGACACGTGCTGCAAATGAGACAAAATGTTGGATTATTGACTGGATGCAGCTCACTGTAATATGAGATTTTAGGTAAAAGTTTACAGTTTCAGTCAAAGCTCTGCACAATAACAGGTCCTTTTAACCATAATAAATCTCTAAAAATACYGTTGGTTGTAAAAAGTTAGTTTAAAGGTTTGATTTATTATTTTATTTTTATCTGCACACTTAAATGTTTCTTAAAGGATTCCTGGTTTCTGTTTGTCTTTATGCAGACGACACGCTGCTGTTCTGCTCTTCAACCTGAAGTTTTTCAAAACATTTTCAACTGAAAAACTGCACTTTTAGGAAACTTTGGCTGTGTTAATACTAACACACGATGCAGTTATCATGTGTTAGACCTTCTGTGATGTTCTTAAAGTAGAAAACCTTTAATAAGAGGACAAACCGGGGGACAGCAATGAGAACATTTTATGACAGTTTATGAGGATATGAAAAGTATTGTCACTTGTCACTTGCCTCTCCGTCCAGCAGCCTCCTGTACTCTGCRATCTCCATCTCCAGTCTGGTCTTGATGTCCAGAAGGGTCTGGTATTTGTGTCCCTGCCACTCCAGGTCGGCCCTCAGCTGCATCAGCTGCTCCTCCAGACATGTGACCTGCATCTGATAGCCTGCCAGTTTCTGGGCGTAGCGGCCTCGTGTCTCTGCCAGCGTGGCCTCCAGGCCGGCTTTCTGTGGGGACAGAAGACGTCCTGATTGGTTGGTGGTCTCAGACTGTGGACAGGAAGATGTTTGTCTGAGGCTCACCATGCTGAGCTGTGA